GTAGGTAATTACTTTTACAGCTATAGATGGGCACTGCTGACTTATGAATGCAAAATAGGTTTTCTCACTCTGCCTGAGTCAGCTCTTTGTAAATTTATATGATATTAACTGTGGTGACTTACAAATGTGTCTGTAATGGGTATGCGTTGCATCCGCTGTTCCTTTATAAAAGCACAGGTCTTTTTCCCCACTACTCACTCTAAGATTTCTGCAGGCCAGCTGATAAGATTCCCTCCTGTGCGGGTAGATGCGATGTAATGAAATTGGATGTGCGCGCTGAGCTTTGTAAATAAAATGAGATTGACCCCCAGCCATTATCTCATTTATCTGATTTACATTGTAAAATCAGGATCTACACTATTGATTAGAGCATAATTAGTTAATTATGAACAGGAAAAATACAGAGTTATGTGGAGCTTGAACACAGCAGGCTATACTGCTCAAAAAATTCCAAGGGCATGAGCAGATGGAGATCACTTTAATAAAGAACAAAGCATACGTGTTTCAGGTATGGAACTGTCTAATCAGCCTCTTGCTGTGAGGAAATTCTTGACCTCCATTCTATATTTTTTACACATGAACAATATTTCCTTTCAATTGTTACCATTTCCTTTATTATTTAACTTATTAATCTAACTACTACAAATTTTCACCTTCCTTCTTCAGTTTATCTACCGTATTTTCTTCATGTAAAATTAGAAAATTAATTACCTGCCTTCCTTTTTGGAATGGAAAACAAAGCACTTCCTAATTTTGTTATGTAACATGATTTGAATCTTGTTAAAGGCATTGACAATAGTAGGTAGCACCATATCAGTTAAAGCTATTTTAACATCAGGAGCTTGTTTTTTAGTCTACCCTTAAAGGATCTCCATTTTTTGTTTTCACAAAGTTCTGGGTACAACTCTTAGACCACTGAGATGCCTGTGTACTTAATTGCACTCATAGATCACATACTTTGGCATATAATGGCCAGTAAATTATCCTCAAATAGTGGGGGATGAAAATTTGGGTGCCCGTTTTGGAAAATTTGACCATTGATGCACGTGGTTAATATTTTGTCTAAACTAGCGGTGCCCAACCTTATTACACAGGAGGGCCACACAAACCTAAGCACAAGCTTGTATGAACCAAATAGATTTCTATACATTTTAATAAGATTTAAAGTCACATGTATTGATTTATATTTTAAGTTCAGCTTGTTTCATATTGTTTATATAGGTTGTTTCTAAGTACACACTTGTGTAAACTAAAATGATGTAAAGATGACAAAATGCTAATGAATTAATCTTTAGTATATTGTGTTGGAGAATGCCCTGGGCCTTATGACATGCTCTGATGGGCTGTAGGTTGGACACCCTGGTCTAAACTACGGAGGATATACATTGCTAAACTAATATTATACATATATAGAAAGCAGTGTGTGCTAGCCAGCTTGTTTATAACCCTAGCAGAGAAGCCAAGTACATAACTATCTATTCACGTCTAGAAGAGTTCCCACAAGATCATGTCTGAGGCACATTTCTCCGGGTAGTATAGGGAAGCATGCACTGTTGGTATCTATGCTCCACCTGTTCTGTGAATATGACTACTGCAAAGTTCCTGGACTATTAACTTGTCATCTTTCACAACCAACAAATTCACATAACTTTAAAGTTTTAAAGTCATGTTATAGTTTGTTTAGGTTCTGTTTCTGGATCTGACAGTACGTTTTCCATCTCCTCATTTGACTAGGACCCTGGACCATAGTATATGATTCATATTGCAGACCTTAATACTCATTTTGCCAGTTGTCTTTGTAACCAAACTGACAGGCATATGATAACTGACCAGGTTTCCTCCAATGCTGGTGCCAATGCTAGACTATAATTCATCAAGGAGGAACAAGTGTTTTCTTTACAGAGCTGAAATGTGTGTGAGCTGTCCCTTTTTCTCTAAGAATTTGAAGCTCAATCACCAAAAATGTATCACACAACAGTGCTGCCAGGCAGATGGTCCAGTAGTAAAATATTCTCATTAGTAGATCTTTCATTTTATCAGAAATGTACCAGAAATGTAGACTGTATCCTACCATCTCACCATATTAACACTGGTAGAGTCTAGTCCAGCTGCTATAGAAGTCAATGGTCAAATTCCCATTGGAATCAATGAAAAGGATATTGGGATAATCATAGTTTTGTGCCTAGAAGATCATCTTTTTTTAAACAACTAAATTTATTTTAATTTACCTATCATTGCACAGTACATTTAGCATTTTACTTTGCTTTTTTCACTAAGGGAGCTCTTTTATATTCATATTTTTAAAAGATCAAATTTAGGTTCTACTATACCAGAATATATTTTTATAAAAAACAATATAAAAGCAATGTTCCACAATTTATGGTTATCATTTTGTAAATATGCATCACGAGATACTTTCACATTTGAACGGTGTGTGGTATATGAGGATGATTTTATCATCCACATGCTCGCACCAGTTTTGTATATATATTTAAATAAAAAAAAACACTTAGTCTCTGGAAACTTTTTTATATTGAAGTTTTTAATTTAGTATATACATATTCAAGAAAAACATGAGAATATTGTTCTTTACAGACAAAATAAAATGATGTGAAAAGAAAATTCAATTGACTACAAGAACAAAACTTGACTTTAGGATACTGCAACCTGTATCTTCTCTCATAATGTTATAGTCATTTCACCCCACCTTATGTAGATTTACTGGATGACTTTTGAAACATGGCTTAAAGTAAAATCAGAATATTGGGCATTCTGGATGAAAGATGTTTCCCCTCCGTCCAAATTAGAGATTTTAAAGCATGATTTTGAAGAGGAAAGATTGTTTTCTTTTAAATAGAACATTTCTGTTACAACTATTCTCCCATACTGCTGTGCTATTACAAACAGTCTGCTAACAGAATCTGTGTAGGTTGTGCTGAAATGACTAATATTCTGACATTTGTAGATTTTAGGATCCAATAGAATCCGTTGAAAATAAGTCTGATAAAATATAATTTACATATTGGAAGATCTCTAAATGTTTGACAGAAAGGAGGAATTCAGTTAGAATACTTGTGTGTAGGCACTGCTCACAAGTGTAAGGGTTTCCAAGATAAACTTCAAGACATTTCTGTGAAATAGATTAGGAATATTACACTTCTTTTCAGAGGCAGAAACTGAGGCACAAGATGGTTAAGTGACTTATCGAAGGTCACAAAAATCATTTGCAAAGCCAGGAAAAGGATTCAGGAGTCCAGGCTCTTATATTCCCATCTCTCATCATTAACAATCCTGCCTCCCTTCTATTTTATTTATTTATTTGGTAATATGCCTTTGCAAGATTTTTTTAATTGTTTATATTTCTAGTTATGCTACTAATAATTATCTATCCAGTGACTAAACAAAATGTTTACAACATGGTTATACTTATACTGCTCTTAATATCTTTTATTATGGAATTGATTTTAAAAGCCCCGTTAAGATTTTATTTTGTAGTCATAGGGCTTATACTACAATCAGGCAAAGATACAGTTTAACATAGTAAGTGCTATGCAGGGTACTGTTTTCATTATGATGTATGCCAATGTAAAAATATCTTTTAGGCCCAGTCTTGCATTCCTTAAGCAGGCAAAACTCTTGTTAGTGCCCAGAGTGTCCATATGGAAGTAGGCAATAGTGTAAAAAGGCATTACTAAGAAAGGATCTTGGCAGAACAGAGATTTCACCTGTACCAGTGATCATGCTCTATATGACTACATAAAAAAGGAGACAATTCCAGAATGTGCACCCTCTGCGGTAATGCTAGAAAAATACTTGTTTAGGTTAACCAAATACTATCCCAAATTGGTTATATTTTTATATATATTTTTAAAAGGAGTTTTCCTTTTCAAATATTTTAGTGCATTCCTTTTGTTTAATCCTCTTTTTGTTATGTGCTTTGTGTACTGTTAATAATTTATTAAAATATATTGTTGTTCTTGGTCTGATAAGTAGCACACCGTGCCATTTATGTTTTAAAAAAAGAATTCTGCATTCTGCACCTTGCTACAGTATGGGGGTTTCTTAAATTTGCTTTGCTACCTTCTTATTTGTGGATTTCCTGGCTTATGAGGCTTTAATTCAAACATTTGAGACACTTAAATGGAATAAATAAAAGGAATCTGACAAAATTAGTTTTTAAAAAGCTTTCCCGTTTGAACAAAAGATCATAGGGTGTATTCAAAAAAGTGATGAAGACAACCACTTCAATAAGATGTATGAATTTCCATTATTTGCTGTTAAATTCTTTTTTCCTCTTGAGCATATTGTTGTACTGTCTGATGTAAGACTCCTTTCATTAAGCACTGCAGTATAGCAAATGCTTCTTCAGTGGCAGTAGACTAAGAATGTCTGAACGAAGAATAGTTATGATAGATATTTCAGACTGTCTGTGGGTTGTACCTGGCACAAAACATGATCAAAAAGCTTGTTGATAAACTCAGAATTATGATGTGTACAGGGTACAATTTTTGTCAGTTATAAATGAAAGATGACAGCAAAATGTTTTAACTGAATGACCTTTTCAAATTCTTACTAAAAGAATCTCACATTATTGTGCAGATTTTATTTATTGGTTACAAAGTCACTATTTAAAAAAATCATTCATGCAATTGTAAACATGTTTGAATTACTAGATCTGTTGGCAGACATTATGGAAGATCCATAATGTAAAAAGTTTTGTTAGCTGGAAAGTGTACTAAATTCTGCAAATCATAAATATACAGAAAATACATAGCGGCCTTCTGCATTTCTGCATGAGAATATTCCAAATTAAATAGAAACATACTTGAAATGTGTGAGTGTACATGTAAATCACCCTTCCTGAAAATGTCTGTTTTAATTCAAACTAATGATTCGGAGATTTGGGGGTAAGTTTTCCATGGGGTGAACTACCCCAAAGTGCTTATAGAGTGGCTTGATTTAATTTTTGAAGAAACACACTATATCTGTTTCTCCTGCAGGTGTGATGAATGCAGGCTCTGCTACCATTTTGGTTGCCTGGAACCTCCTTTGAAAAAATCTCCAAAACAGACAGGCTATGGATGGATTTGTCAAGAGTGTGATTCTACTTCCTCTAAAGTAAGTTAATTCAGTCTGTGAAAACTCAGAGGAGGAGTTCTGGTTTTGCATAGCCTTTTTGAGCAAATCATTGCATAGTTTCTCATCTTGAGTTTGTGTTTGAACACTTTGCATAGATCTGCATTGAGAAACAGACATTTAATTCTACACAGTTAAAGGTCACACTGCGAGGATTTCATCTTGGCTTTAACTGAAGGAGAAAAAAATGCAAAATGGAAATTGTGTTAATTGTCTCGATAAAGGGGAGTTTATTATTCCTCTTAAATATTTTCTTATTACATGATGGTGGTGACCCCCAAATATATAAGCCCAAAGTATTAAGTTAAAATACCGTATCATTCTTTGCCCCATTATAAGCAGTCAGATATTTTAATAATATAAACCATAACCTGTGAAGGCATGGTTAATAGTAAATTCATTTAAAAATATATTCATGAAAGATTTGAAAGTCTACATTTTTTGTTTTTGTTTTTTCCAATGTAAATCAATTGTGAGGGACATTATTAGGTTAGCATGAAGGATATTTGTAAGGAATAACATTCTAAATTTGTTTGAACTTAAAATTCTCACTACTGAAACATTGTTATATTAACGCTACCAACAATCATCGACTTCTGTGTTGTTATCCTGCAAAGGACATAGGATTTTTTTGTTGGGTTTGGTTTTAGTTTATTAACATTTTCCTGAACATTAATTTCTTTAGTGTTGGCATGGTTGCCAACACCCTCTAGATGCTTTAAAGAGACACTGTCATCTTGATTTTTCTTTAAAGTGACTAATTTAAAAAATATCAATTTTCTGATAGGGCATCATTAAAATAAGAGCTTTTTAAAAAATCTGTTAAATTTCATAAGCTTTTCTGCTGCCTGTTGTTGCTTATTAGGGTATTGTCGGGAAGAGATAAAATGACTGAATAACTGATTACATAGGGAAATGGACTATAAAGAAAATGCTATCAAACACTCAAAGTTAACAAACAGAAAAAATAGAGGATCTTTTTCTACTAACTTCTTTAGCTTTTAATAATCTTTCCTAGGTGTATAGTTATTTATAACTAAAGTAGATATGGTACCAAGTATCAGAGGAGTAGCCGTGTTAGTCTGTATCCACAAAAACAACGAGGAGTCCAGTGGCACCTTAAAGACTAAGATTTATTTGGGCATAAGCTTTTGTGGGTAAAAAACCCACTTCTTCAGAATCTACCCTCAAAATCTTATGCCCAAATAAATCTGTTAGTCTTTAAAATGCCACTGGGCTCCTTATTGTTTATAATGTAGATATAAAATTTTTCAGGCAGAAATAGGATTTTCAAGTTGATGGTGTCCTTTTACAATTGGAAAAATAAAATACTCTGCTTTGCTGGACGTTAATCAAATCATTCTTCCTCGGGAAGATACAAAGATGGACATTGGAAATTAGCTGTCAACTATAGTTTGGACATCAAGCAGTCTTTCTTGAATACCACTTAAATACAATGGTCACTCCTGGAGTGAATTATAATTGATATTGAATTCCTGTCACCTCTTAAACCAAAAGGGTTTCTTTATAACATTAGTTAAAATGTTCTGCCTGCTATTTTTTCAGTGTTTTTGCAAAAGGGCACTTTTTGAAACTCTAAATGTGTATTTGGCCTAACTGGCCAAACTACGCAGATAAACTGCTATGCTTGCTGAATAATTTACCATGACAATTAATTCAACATTATTTTATTTTCTGTAAAGTGTGTTAATTTTTAGATATTTTGATGTAAGATGAAATGTTTTGAAAAAATAAAATTGAATTTACAAGCTACAATGAACACCGATATTTACTGTAGTTATGTTAAGGATGACTTCACATTTAAAAATATACCAAACAAGATGTTTATTACTGAGACTGATTTTCATTTTTAATTCATAAAGACCCATTCTTAAAATTAATATTTAACAATTAAGTCTGATTTATTGCACTGTTTTAAACATAGCCAATTTTAATTATGTTTGAATGAGAAAATAATAAATATGATAGGTACTGAGAAAGTTGTCTTATGGGGACTCCTTGTGGCTTTGTTTAGTTACTTAACAAATAATTTTTTCTTGCAAAGCTGTGTAAAGAAACTATTGGAAAAAAAGTTATGTTGCTGTCCATATTAAGAGATATCTTTATTTTTAGCATACCATATTTTTCTGTAATCTAGTACGCTACATTGTGTCTAACAAGATCATGTTAACTGAATTAAACTTTTCGTACAGTCCTTCTTTTATATGAAAATAATTTTAAAAGGCTTAATGTTTTCTTTCTTTTCCAATTTCAATCTGTGGTCTTGTTTTATAGTATATAATTTACACATAATACCCTGCATATATTTCAACAGCCAATAAATACTTATGAATTCTAGAGCTTTTTCCCCCACGATAAAGGGGTGGTCTTTTTGGGCTGAGTATAAGTCCATTAGGCAGGAACAGTGTAAGGAATCTGGCATTGTTTGCTGCACTCTGTCTGACCTATGGATGAATAGCAGACTTGAGCCACAAGCATTTTCAATCTCTCACTCAACCACTAAATCCAATTTTTGGTATGTCACAAGAAAGTTTCCTGTAAGGATTACAGTAGTGAAATAGGATTGCATGTTTCAGCATTTGCCAAGAAGACAATAATGCAGTCTCCTTCCCTTCAGCTGAGAAATCGGACTTTATAAGTAATATTTCCAAATGGAAAGTAATACAGGAAATTTAATTTATTTCCTTTGCTATTCATCTGCTTAAATGCAATTTAAGTAATCACTATAGTATGAATTTTAATGCAGATAAACAAATTTTAACTTTTCTTAGACAGCGAGTGTTTAAATGTATTGGCCCTAGAAAAAAATTGGACAAATAGATTATGTAGTACTTATTGGGTCAATAAAAAGTGAAGTTATAATACACATGGTTTTGTATAATTATTTTATTGTCCTAATAAAAGGTGATTACATTATCTACCTTTCTAATTATAGTTCTTCTTCGAATGCTTGCTCATGTCGATTCCATTGTAGGTGTGTGCGCGCCCACGTGCGCGGCCATCAGAGACTTTTGCCTTAGCGGTACCTGGAGGGCTGGCTGTGGTGCCCTCTGGAGTGCTGTGCTCATGGTGCAGTATATCAGGCGCCACCAGCCCTGCGCCCTCTCAGTTCCTTCTTACCACCCATGGTGGTCAGCGGGAGCACCTCTGTCCCTTGCTTCGCAAGTGATTAGCGGTTTCTCATCTAGCTTAGCCTTGAGCTTTACCTGTAAATAGTTTAATTGTTGTTAGTTAGGTCTTAAGTACCTGTTAAGTGTTAGTTAGATAGTGTCCCAGTGGGTCTCCAGGTTTCAAGCCCTGCTCTTCGTGTAACAGGCCTATGCTTGTTAGTGATCCTCACAAGAGTTGTCTACAGTGCCTTGGGGAAACCCATATAAAGGAGCACTGTCGCATCTGCTAGAACTTTCATCCGCGGACACGAAGAGAGCAGGACATCATCTCAGGGCCCTCCTGATGCAGGTTGCCCTGCACCCACCTTCGGAGCTGTCGTGGCCCGAACCGGCACCCAGTACTTCAGCTTCAGTATGTAGCACACCTCCGGCACTGGGGTCCCTCCGGCACCGATCCCTGTTGCTTGTGCCAAAGAAAAAGACTAAGAAGGTGGCACCAACCAAGCCCAACCAAGGGTCTTTGGGCAAAGGACACTGCTCGGGCCTTATGCCCACTCCGTGCCCGCTAAAGGGCTCGGGCTTGGGGAGTTTCTCTCCCTGAAAGGGCCTGCCACTGACTCCGGGGAGTGGTAAAGGGCCTAGGCCGATGGCGCAGTCAACCCCCTCTGAGGCCCTGGCACCTGAGGAGCTGAGAGCGCTTCCGCTGCAGCCAGCACTGCGTGCGGCTATGGAACCAGCTAAGGCTCCCCGTGAGGGCAAGTCTGCCAGCAAGGCCTTGCACAAAACAGGCGAGCACCTCCGGTCTCCAGAGCCAAAACAGAGCCCTAGGTCGCCACATTCTTGGTCTCCACGTGGACCCAGGTCTCCAGCTCAGCACTATGAGTCATAGGCACCATGCTCCCAATCCCCATTGTCACGCCAAAGTTCGCCCAGGTGTCATCGATCTCCCCGGCCCCATTCTTTGTCTCACTGCTGGTTGTCGTCGCCGAGACCTCGAGACGCTCCCGTTCCCATCACCAGTCTCCGGCGGCGATGGTGAGCTATCAGACTCAATCCACCACAGCCTGATCGCTGGAGGGTGACGATGTCTCAGGCTCGGAGGCGCAGTTCAGCCCCTCGTCCAGGCAACATTATTGGGCTCCAGAAGGTCCATCCATGACACTGGTGCCAACGTGGCAGCAGAGCCAGTGGCTGACCCAATGGCCTTATTGGAATGCATGGGGCATTCCAATCATACCCACTCCTGCCAGCTTCAGTTGCCGCATCAGACAGGCCAAAGGCAATGCCCCCGGTACCCTTGGCACTGGGCTTGGTGCAGGACATCCTGGTGGCCGCCACAGGGGAGGATCCGGTATGCACCCCAAGGCCACCCTCCCCGACAGTTGAGGACACCACCGGACTTCCCCGGTCATCCAATCCTCCTCCTCCTCCCCCCCAGACAAGGCAGTGGCGGGGCCTTCCAGAGCTAGCCCACCAGACAATTTCAGTGAACATCAGGCGCTGCTCCACAGGGTGGCATCCAACTTGGGCCTCAAGGCGGAGGAAATGGAGGAGCAGACAGACACATTATATAATGTGCTCTCCACGTCAGCCCCAGCCCAGATCTTGCTGCCAGTAAATGAGAGGGTTCTGAACATTGCCAAAACCATCTGGCAAACCCTGTCCTCCATCCCACCTCTAAAAGGGTGGAAAAGAAGTACTTTGTTCCCGCAAAAGGGTTTGAGTACTTGTACACTCATCTGTCACCGGGATCGTTGGTTGTGTCAGTGGCCAATGAAAGGGACAAGCAGGTGCCCACCAGCTCCACCCCTAAAAATAGAGAGGATAAGAGACTGGATTTGTTTGGTCAAA